CAGCCCTATATCACAAACATAACCAATTAGCCCCATAGTGCCTCTTACCAATAAGACTTGCTGCCTGTAGCTAGAAGCATAGTATATCGGATATCCTCCAGACCACCTCCAGGTTCAGTTACTGACTAGGATCCAGCATATGGTTGTACTCATGTCTATAATTTATTATAGCAAAAGGATACAAAGCAAAATCAACAAAAGGAAAAGGCACTTGGGTGAGATCTAAGGCAACCAGGCACGAGCTTTCAGCAGTCCTTTCTCATGACGTCACACACAGGATGTGCTTAATTCCTTCAGCAACTAACTAGTTGTGGTAACTTGTATGAAATGTTATCTATCAGGAAAGCTCATTAGAGATTCAGTGCCCACAGTTTTTATTGGGGGCTGGTCATATAGGCAACCTCTGTATCAATATTTTAAACTCTCGGAAGGAAAGCAGGTGTTCAGCATAAACCACATTGTTCGTACAATTTAGGAGTGGTGAGCCAGTCTTATCTGGGAATGGTGGGAACCCTTCCCATTGGAAAACAATCTGGACACCATCAGGAATCCAACTTTTCAAATGCCAATCAAGGACCAACCTTGCAAGCAGGTCTTTCTAAGGATAGAAGTCACAAGTTGCTATCTCTTTTCTAAACACATAATATAACTCAAACTTTGTTTCTAGTCCCTTGACCTCTTGCCACCAAGTGAAGCCACACGAAATATTGGGGAAAAAAAATGAGCTTTGAAGAATAACTCTGAAGTTCCAGTCCTAGCTCTGCTAGTAACTTGGTAGATGACTGTGGCTAAGTTGTTTAACATATTTAAACCTTACTTGCTTCATCTGTGAATTTGAGATAATAATGCTACCTACATAGGGATTTTTTTTGAAAACAGATTATTTTATACACACATACACACTAGACATGGAATCACTAACATAGACTAATTTAACCCTCACAGAAATCCCATCAGGTAGATGCTATTATTATATACATATTATAGATGAGAATCACACAAGACTCAGAGTTTAAGTAATTGATCACTTTGGAACTATTGAATGGTATAGCTGGGATTTGAATCCAAGTAGTTTGTCTTCAGAGCCATATGGCCAAACATAGTACCAAACTGTGACCCTTAGGCCAAATCCAGTCCATACCTGTTTTTGTACAGCCAGCCAGAAAGTCTAAAAAGAGTTGTTAAAAAAAAAAAAAAGACAGAAAAGAAATGCAAAGAAAAAGAAAAAAAGGGAAATTGTGACAAAGTGTGTATGTGGCCCATGAAGCCTGAAATAGTTACTATTTGGCCTTTTACAGCAGAAGCTTGCCAACACCTCTACTACGCTAACCATTACTAAGAAAACGTTTTTTCAATAGAAAGTTGAGAACCACACTGATCCTTACGATGAAGGGCATGTCTGGTCATAAAATGGGTTAGTTGTAGAGTGAGAACAGTGTACTCAGTGCTCCTTCTGTGGTAGAATAATTTTTTTTTTTATTTTCCAAATTTAAAATAAGGACTGTGTAAAATTACTTGAGAAAATAGAGATCAAAGACAGCTGGTCTAGTGCTGAGTTACTTAGTGTTATGCCCTCTGGACAATGGATTTCAGCTGGACTTTATATGCTGTGATAACATTTGGTGACAGGATACATTGGCAAAAAAACTTCTACTGTAAAACCATGGGTTTGTTTTTGAAAAGAAAAATTGGGCCACCACTTAATATTGATAAATTTTGCTCAGATATCAACAACTATGTGGAAAGAAAAATGGCTCTAACAATGCATTTTTTCCTCCTAGAACTGTAAGTGCCTTAATAACAGAACAGCATGTTTTGGCCTTTCTAAATAAATTAACATCTTGATTTCTGTACAGTTTCTGAAATTCATCTAAATTTCCATAGAGGGCTAAATATTCAGTCATTTAACAAATATTTAATGAATCTTACTTGGGGGAGTATATAAAGATGATGCAGAAGATTTTTTTTTTCTTTTTTTTTTATTGTGAAGTATTTTTGTTTGGTAGGTGGTTGTTCAAATCTACTACACTGCATAGATGCGTCACATATTTATTATTCATGCAAACCATATTAATCTATTTTCTAATAGAGTCAGAAGGTGGTAATAGAGGTTACATATGGTTATAGATGCACTTCAATTGCCTGTTCTTCAACTTCACAGTGCCACATTCTTGCAAAAACCCAGAAGATGAGAAAGCCTTTGCTATTATAGATTGGTGATCATGGTTGGTGGGTGCCTATTATTGAAGCCTATTTCCTCATGCATCTCACTTTAGCATTCGTTTTGCTTGCCGAGAGTGGCTTGGGTAAGGCATTAATTATGGTTATTTAAATTATATTATTGTTTGGTTAAAAAAACTTTTGTTCTGTACATTCATCTTTCTTTTAACTTAGATGTTTCAGACTTTTAAAAGATTTTCTATCTTTTTTATTGGAAGATTAAAGGTTTTGCATAAAGTTGATCTCATTTTTTTAACTAAGGGAATTTTTAAACCTATATGAACGTAATCCAGTTTCCACGGCCGTCACATATGGCCAATCTTGTTTAATTTTTATATTCCTCCTTTGTTGTCTCCCATCTACCCCAAGTAACTTTAAAACAAATTGCAGACACTATGTC